AGTGTTTGAAGTGTGCAGCTCCGTCTCAACTAACCCAGACTTCCAAATGTCACATGAGTGGGTCGGAAGGCTACCTGAGAACTGACTGTAATTAGGTTTTAAGCCTGACAACTCTGGCTCAAAATGCCTCCGTCTTCAAAGTTGAGTTATTTTGATAATTGTTTTCATAATGGGCTAGAAGGACTGGTGTGATGGGGGCAAGGTCGCCACATATGTGATAATCCAGTTGATAATATCTGGATAACAACCTCCAACATTGTTTTGTTTTGATTCTGATACAAACTGTGATGCTAAAAATTCTCCTCCAATAAAATACTCATGTGCAAGAGAACTTCTGAACGGATATGGATAATGGCGTCACTTCCAAAATGGTGGCTACTGGGAACTGAATATTAACATAATTGAATAGGGATATCCTGCATGGTAGAGGATGCATCAATCAGTGCCCTATTGGTGACTGATTATTAACAGTTGAGTGAGTGAGTGAGTATGGTTAATAAACCAATGTTTTTCATAAGAATATAGTTAATCTTTCATGGCTGGTGGGTATTGCAACACATAGCCTTCCAATTGTGGGTGTTCTTTAAATTGTTTTCAGTTGTACCATATTTGACGTAATAAGCACTCAAGGCGCTCTCAAAATTAGAAAAAGGGGGGTCTTATAAGAATATAATTTTGGTGAGAAAAAAAAAACAGTTGAAAGATCGTAATTATTGTGGTTTATGCTGACAACCTGGAATGATACAATAAAAAAAGTCTGTGCGTATTATACACGACAAATATATTTTTCCAGAATTTAATTGCCTATAATTAAGGGTGCATATAACACATGAGTGCAATATTATACACAATTAAATAAGTCTTGTGTACATTGATCAAATGGAAGGGGTGCAAATTGGGATTGTTCACTTGCCAATATATTAGCCAATATCGCTGTGGGCGCTTGTTAGAGCAGGGCGCTTACTACGTCGAATACGGTAAATATATATATAAAATATATATATAAAATTACATAAACAAAGGCAAACGTTCAGTAAACCTGACATCAATTATGATTTGACCTTTGACTGACAGCTTTAGAGAAAGATCCCATCCTGACACTTTGTCTGCCATATACCCAACTGCCATCTTAGACCTTCACATTGGGGCCAGCCTGTTAATCTCTCCAATTTCCTATATTTTCTCTATCGACCACATGGATCAGCAAACCTCTGATCGTATCAACTAGGGAAATATGTCTGGTCCTATGCAGGGTCTACTTCAAAAGACAAAAACACAAAAGTAAAAACTTCCTTGTTGTGAAAGTTTGCCTACTTTGAACAAAGAACATAATGAAAGCTGTAGGTTGGCTCAAATCGTTTGACATAATAAACTAATTGGCCCACATAATTTGACATGGCAAATTTCGCCCACATGATTAATTACAGAAAGTGATGCAACAACACTGAGTGTTTTTTGGGGTAATTTATGTGACTGAGTACCAGCAATGTTGAAAACTTCATATGGCAGTGGGCATCAAGAAGGGCTCACAGATTGTACTCATGGGGATTCAAACCCAGGATGACATGTGAACACTTTACCCGCTCGGCCATGACCGTGGGATCAGTGCTGAATATCTACTTGATAAAATATACACATGGAGGCTACCTCTCAAGCATGCTCCAATATTCTTCCAATATCGGATGATTCATAGCCAGATATTATCACTAGGGCTGGGACGAGTCAAAATTAGCTACCCGGGTACCCACACCGCTATTACCCGACCCTACCTGGGTACCCGCTGTAGGTCTCAAGAGATAGGTACAAACTGTCCGATTGGGAAAAGTTTGACCGTATTCCTGGCAAAATGTATTCAGATACTCAAAAAAACGATCTGGTCATGCATATGCACTGATGTTTACTGAATGAAGTTTTAAATTTTTTTCAAACATATAAAAGTCAGAAGGAATGTGTGCATGGTCAGAAAGAACTGGCAACATAAGTGACTTGTAGTGTGACCATATACATAGAGTTTTAAATAAGTTTTGTCATTCAACAATATATCACGTGACTAACCACGGGTCCGGGTAGTCCTGTGGGTACCCGGGTCCTACCCGGGTCCTACTCAGTACCCACCCGACCCAAGTACCCCGTCCCAGCCCTAATTATCACACATACCTCGTCATCTTGTCTGACTGCATTTGTGTACTAAACACTGTACATCCTTACAATTCAACTGTCCAAGGTATTACCCATAATATGTGGTTTCAGTATCCAGTTTCCCTTTCATCAGTGATGATTTAATTGAGTGCTTCAGAAATTGCAACATGATGACGTCAGGCTAATGTTATTGCAGTTGAGTTTGAGCCAGAGTTTCACTGGCCTTTCTGAATGTGCATTTTAAATAAGTACAACCAAAGGAGCTATAGTTAATTATGCAAAATACAAGAGAAATCATATATCAACTACTACATGAATATCATGACCGCTCTCTTGCTCCCCATCCTACCAAGCATGCAACAAAGCTGTTTTTTTCTCTTCATCGGTTAAATTGAAATAAAATAAATCAAACTTTACCCAATAATCAAACATTTATCACCAACATCATACTATAGTGAGTGAGTTTGGTGGGTTTAATGCCACTTTTAACAGTATTCCAGTTATATCACTGCGTCAGCTTATTGTGGGAGGAAAGCCCGAAGTGATGCAGGTCTCAGACGTTTACCACTTCGGAGAAACCCACGAGCACGGGTATGGTGCTGACAAACCTAGACACATAATCGGGGCGAACCGGGATTCAAACCCACAATCATAGGTTCCTGGCGTGCCCAAGGGACGCAACTCTGCCCAGTGAATCACGGCGCCTTAGACGACTGGGCCACCCGTGCCCCCCATCTTACTATAGACAATGTATGAGTGAGGGAATGAATGCTGTTTTACATCCTACAGGTATGAGGGAATGTGGACACACTGGAAACAGAAACATCTGTGGTTAAAGCCATGAGCAACATTCCACAGTTGAGGTACCATGTAACCAGTCAACCATTGTATCCATCAAATACACATTGGTTGCAACAAATATGGCTGCTTGGAACCGATTCTCCCTGAAAACACCACAACACCCATTGTATCCATCAAATAATGGCTGGTGGAGACTGATTCTCCCTGAAAACATCACAACAAGCCAGTGATTAGACATCCATTGTATCCATTCAATACACATTCTCCCTGAAAACATCACAACAAGCCAGTGATTAGACATCCATTGTATCCATTCAATACACATTCTCCCTGAAACACTGTGGAGAAAACGAACTACCTCATGATATACCACACAGCATCAAAGACTGTTGGAACATTCAGATTGACAAACCAGCCAACACCCATCAGTCAGGACGAGGCGGACCATCCATCCCACACCTCCAATATCTGCAGCCATCATGTAGCCACATCTACATAGTGGATCTGTTTCAACCACAGTTGAGAAATACTCCAAAAGCAAGAATCCATTATAAAAGCAGTTTGAGACACTGACCACCAAGTCTTGTTATTGTTGATAAAAATATTGATTTTTCGCAAGATCCCAATCTAGTCTGAGGTTTAGCATGATCTTTCGTCTGTCTTGGATAATACAACATCTAAATCCTCACCACAAGTTCGGGTAGGTCCTAAACATTACCAGTGTCATTACATTAATTACACACTCGTCAACAGATGTCGATTTCTACACCAACATGCTTCCCACAATACAGTGCCCTATCAATATAGGGAACTAGGCCATGGGACGTTAAACCACAGCATTGTCAATTTCCATTCAAGAGCCAATGAAGGCAATTTCCTAATGGGATATGGGTCAAATAACAGCTCTCTTTCCATGAGGAGTAGAAAATAGATCAGCCTTTTTCTTGTCAGCTGATCATGGTCGTGTGCTGTCTGGCGATCAATTACAACCCTGAGACTCAATTACATTAACACAGAGAAACAGTCTAGACATTGGTCGGTTCCTCCTAACACTCACAGTTCTATCATACGACGATAACCGATGTGCATTATGCATGCACTGATGTTGATATTCGGAGATGAAAAACTGACATGAGGTCATTCATGTACCTACCTTCATCAATCACAGCATCCTTAGAATTATGTTTTCTTTTTCAGTGTGGAAGGCCTTTACGGACAGCATGGTATTACAAATTTCATAAACAGCTGATTTTTGAAAGGCTGGAGGATGACAAGAGTTACCTCCCTTTGATTATGCGCTCTCACATAAATAATTAATTCTTGTGTTGTGGTTGGAACTGATTGATCCTTGGTCATGTCAAATAACCGTTGTTTAGTATTTCCTTTTGTCAAGATTTTGTTACCTTGTTCTTCTCCTACATGTGTTTGACTGCTAATATTCATTTCATAAAACAGATTAAATTTATACTGCTAAAAACCACCAGATTCAACAACTGTTAATGTCTGCTCAGGTACGTGAACTAATAAAAAACTCAAAACGGTCTACATTAAATCGATTGTCTTTTCGTTGATCCCTAAACTTGCATTGTTTCATTTGACTGACCTAATCAGTGCCTCTTCTTGATTGTGCATTGCAATAGGAAATCCAGGTTTGTTTGTTTGTTTGTTTGTTGTTCTTCCCCAAATATAACATTTGTTACATTTGACCACTTTCTAAATGTGTGATTAATGGGGACTATTCTTTTGATGGAATCTCTATAGGGGATACTAAGGACTGTAATATACCAGCTGTAAAACCCACTCATCACAAGTTGAATCCGATGACCAGTCTTCAAAAATTCACAGTAGTCTGCAGGCCCGAGACTACTAAATTGTGCCGAGGACAAGTAAGAATCCAATGATGGTAGTCCTCATAGTCAAGCAGCCTTTAAGTATGATGAGCATGATGAGCGAGCACCTTAACCACTGGGCTACCCCGCCACATGTAAAGAATCTGAACATATATTTCACATAATAAGGATCTATGATGCAGTATTCTCAATCTTAAGTCTTCTACTCACTCAAGTGTCTCGGTGTAGGCGCTGTTGACCGCTGTCCAGTCTCGGTGAAGGTGTCCGGCAATGTCGTGGATCCTTGCCACCTCGTCTTCATTGGCTGACTGGTACAGTGCATCCTGTTTCTGTGACTCCAACTCATCGACCGTTCCTCGGCACTTGTCTAACTCATCTTTCAGTTTCTGAAAACATTCAACAAAGGACACATATTTAGGATGGACAGATTTATAGCTGAGAGTATCTGAATCACTTCATGGAAGGTGCCTTGGCAATTAATACATGATATCAACAAAGTGAATGAGTGAGTGAGTGAGTGGGTTTTAAGTGAGTGAGTGAGTGGGTGAGTGAGTGAGTGGGTTTTGAATGAGTGAGTGAGTGAGTGAGTGAGTGAGTGAGTGAGTATGATTTTATGCCACTTTTAGCAATATTCCAGCAATATACTGATGGGGGATACCAGGAATGGGCTTTACATATTGCACCCATGTGGGGAATCGAACCCGGGCCTTCAACAGGACGAGCAGACGATTTAACCACTAGGCTACGCGACTGCTACGGTATAAACCTAGACTGCAAGTACAGTTACTAACATGAGAGGAGGAGGTTAGTCAGCCTCGATGGTGCAGAAGTCGCTCATCATGCATGTAAAGACCTGGGTCTGATTTCACACATCGGTACAATGCTAGTTGGAGGAGGGGACCATCTGGATCAGGTGGTCTGGCTTGATGACATAGTTGATGACATAGTTGATGACATAGTTGATGACATAGTTGATGACATAGTTGATGCCATAGTTGATGACATAGTTGATGCATGTCATTGTACTCAGACACTGCCTGCCCAACTGCCCGTGGCTGGTAACTTTTCTGTTGGGCTGCATGAAATATTTGTCTTCCTCCCCGACTGTCTGGCAGACAATTTTAAGACAAGTTACGCATTAAGTTTTATTATAACTCCTCGTAGTTCTGAAGTAATTGTTAGCAATATTTCAACTAAATCAAGACACAATTGTTTCTTAACATTTTGAAATATTTGTAATGTATTAATGCAGGCAACTTTGAATATAGGCAGGCAACGTTTATGGTTCACCTGCCCAACAGTCTTGTTGGGTTTTAGAATTAACACTGATTGTGGGATGGTACTTATGATATTAATCACAGGATTGTCTGGTCCAGACTTGATGAATATTGCAGAGAGGAAGATTAACAACAAATAATACAAACAATGTGTGATGCTGTTGTGACGTATCTACAGTATATTACAGTAAATAAGAACTTCTTTCTTTCTTTGTTGTTTAACGCCACACTCAGCAATATACCAGCTATATGACAGCGGTCTTAAAATAATCGATTCTGGACCAGACAATCCAGTGATTGACATCATGAGCATCGATCCACACAATTGGGATACGATGACATGCATCAACCAAGTCAGCGAGCCTGACCACCCGATCCCGTTAGTCGCCTCTTACGACAAGCATAGTCGCTTTTTACGGCAAGCATGGGTTGCTGAAGACCTATTCTACCCCGGATCTTCATGGGTCAGGTAAATAGGAACTATATTAACTGTCATTTAACCTTCACTGAACTTAGCCAAGACCATCAAGACATGCCTTATGCATAATGATTGAAGGGTACCTAAAATCCTCCCAAGTCTACCAAACTGCACAAGGGGTTGTGGCACATTGAAACACTGAATCGTCTATGACTCCTGACATACAAATAGGAGTTGTTTCACTTACAATACTGACAACACAGTTATGAAGCCATACATTTCTAAGTTACTTTTAAAATCCTTTGTATTTCTAAGTATCAATGACACAATGTTAGGATCAGTAATAACCATCTAACCAACTTCAGTGGCAGATATATTAGTGAAATCATTTGATTGTGACGTCATGGTAACTGATGACATCACAATGGTCTGCAAAGCATCGTGTTGCAATCTCATTGTAGCAATATCTCATAGGTGATATCACTTCATTTCATAGGGGCAGCCCTTGTGTCTAAGGTGCCATGTTATGCAGTGTGGGGGCACAGGTGGCCCAGTTGTCTAAGGCGCTGCGATTCGCTATGCAGAGTTGCGTCCCTTGGGCACGCCAGAAACCTATGATTGTGGGTTTGAATCCCTGTTTGCCCTGGTTTCCTTGTTTGTCAAATATCAAACAATGTTCTCTTGATTAGTGAGTGAGTGAGTTGGGTTTTATGCCGCTTTTAACAGTATTCCAGTTATATTGCGGCGTGTCAGCCCAATGTGGGAGGAAAGCCCAATGTCGGAGGAAAGCCCAAAGTGATGCAGGTGTCTGATGTATACCCCTTGGTGAAACCCACTAGCACGGGTATGGTGCTGACAAACCTAGAAACATAATTGGGGCAAACCGTCATAGGTTTCTGGCGTACCCAAAGGACGCAACTCTGGACAGCGAATCGCGGCGCCTTAGACGATTGGGCCACCCATGCCCCCTCTTGATTGGCATCAGTTTCATAATGAAGGTGCCCCCGGAGATCACAGGGTACATGGAGTAGGTTCCAGGGCCCCATGCCTGCCATAAGAGCCAACTGATGGGGATTGGGTCGTCAAGATGATTTACCAGTTTTGCGTGCCATCTTGACCAGATAGTTGCTCAGGCTATCGACCCCTGGTTTATCTGGCCCACGCATCATTAAGTACAGGCACCCATGCAAGTGGTATTTTCAAAATACCTTCTGTTTCAACACTACCAAATGCTTAAATACCTCCATGTTGAATTTCCATCACACTTCCTACAACAGCCATGTACGAGATGAACCAATACCTGATAAATTTCTGCCAATCAGCATCCAACACCCATGCCTCAAAAATACACGGTACTATTTGAGCACATTTGTAAAACAAACAATCTTTAGCTTACAATTAAATGCTGAGAAACTTGATACAATCTCAAAGTATAGTCAACTCATTTCACACATCCCCCATACCTGCAACAGTGTTCCCCCACCACAAAAACAAATCGTGTTTGCTTAAAAAACATGTAAGGTACAAAGAAAAGTTAACAAACTGGAAGAGTATAATCACTTTTCATCATGTGAATGTCAAGATATGAGCCTCTGATTTGAGCTTGATGGACTCTGTTGGTTTCAGCTGACACAAGTGGCAATCAAGCATCAAACACATGAGGCTACAAAATACACCTACAGGTGTCCATCTCCTTACCTTCAACATTGAGTAACCTATGACCTGACTTCAGTTTCATATTTTTTTTGTATTCCTTTTATAACAGCTTAAAGCTGGCTGGTTTTTTACATCCATCTTTATTTCAACGATGAGGTTTAGTTAGATATACAAGGAAAGATGAAGGGCAGTATATTTTAGTGTCTGACAAGGAACGATTCTTAAAGTTAATTGAGGCAACTCATTCCAAGGAATACATTTGAACTGAAACTACAACTGGTTGGTTGGATGGTTGGTTGGTGGGTGGGTGGGTTGGTTGGTAGTTGGGTGGGTGGGTTGGTTGGTTGGTTGGTTGTTGGTTGTTGGTTGGGTGGGTGGGTGGGTGGGTGGGTGGGTGTACGGGTTGGTTGGTTGGTTAGTTTGGGGGTTGGGTGGGTGGGTGGGTTGGTTGGTTGGTGGTTGGGTGTACGGGTTGGTTGGTTGGTTGGTTGGTTGGTTAAACAAGTTATTTCTATTCCTCATTCAAGACAATTTAATTGTACACACATCTGATAAAAATCAAATTAAACTTAACCAGGCACAAACTTTTTTCACAAACAACTCGAAACAGTGTCACAGTTTACTCATAAATCTTCAATTACATCCATTTCAACAAGACAGCAAGAGATCAAAGGGATGCACACATTCACTTGACGCAGCTTCCAGAGCCATTTCTGAACATAACTAGCAGTGTGCGTTGTTTCCCTGCAAGCTCCCTCCTCCACTGGAACTCTCGTTACTTGTAGCTGCTGCCATCCTGGGCAGATAGGGTCTGGAGCTGTGTTCAAAGACACCTCTCTCCTCTCTATCTCTCAATGAGCGTTATCAGGGCTGTGGATTACACTTGCGACTGCACCCACGTAAGACCTGATCATCTGACAGGCCTCTACTGGCATGACTCTTTCCAAAAAACCTCATGGACCTTGCACACTTCAATTCCCTAACAACAAAACACTGTTTTTGTTTTTGCTTTTATTTATCAAAAATAGCTCTTTAGGGTGGCTTTGATGTTGATATTTCGCTCATTTATTTCGAATCGGCTCTGTCAGGTTGGGAATAGGGACGACACGGACATATTGTGTTCAGCTGATGATCAGTATGGCAGGGAAGCATGGTTATATGTCTGGGTGAGGTGGGTGAATTTGGGGTTAACATTATTGCATTTATATAGCCACATTCATACACGTGCGTGCATGTGGCTGCTTGTAGACGTTTAGTACACAAAATAAAGTTCTCATATTTAAAAATAGCTACAAACTAAAAAAAATACCGTATTCGACGTAATAAGCGCCCAGGGCTCTCTCAAAATTAGAAATCTGGGGCTCTTATTAGAATATTATTTTGGAGATGAAAGATGAATTTCGTGGTTTATGCTGACAGCCTGAAATGTTTATGTACGACAGATGTATTTTTTCAGAATTTAATTGCCAATAATAAAGAGTGCATGTAACACACGAGTGCGTATTATACGCAAATAGGGGAAAGAACAGTGCATATTATATGCGAATAGGGGTCGGAAGGGGTGCTAATTGGGATTGTTCACTAGCCAATATATTAGCAATTCTCGACGTGGGCGCTTATTAGAGCGGGGCGCCTATTACGTCGAATACAGTATATCAAAAAGAGCCCAGAGCAATGCGTGCTCAAGCTGAGGCAATCGAGACTTGCCAATTCCTTCTCGACTTCGATTCCTATTTTTATTTATTCTCTTGGGTCTGGAAGACAGACTTAGCTGCTTGGACTAGTCCTGACTTATATGTATAGGTGTAAAGCCAGTATATGCATATAAATGAGTGATTGAGTTGAGTTTTACCCTGATATTTCCAAAACATTTTTTTAAATTTACATTAAGAAAAATGGAATTATTTTACATTCAAAGTTGAACAACAATGAACTCACTTTCATCTTTCAAAGGTCACTTAATAACAGGAGTGTAACGACATATCGAACTATCAATGCCTTACGATAGTACTATATCATTAGGAATTTAAACATG